CTTACTTTAAAATCTCTGAGCCTCATTTCAGCCATAAAATGCAGCTTCAAGAGAACTGCGTGAGGATTCAGGAGTATGCATAAAAAGCCTGCGCGTAGAAAGTGCTCAACCACAAATGATTAGGCTGCAAACTTTATCGCCTAGCAGGACTATAAAGTAACTTACAAACCTCATTATATTTCTTCATCCTAATCCCAAACCCTATCCCTCTATGTTGTGAGCCCTGGTCTGTCCTGGATTATAAATTTTCTCCATCCTCATAGCCAATCTTTTATTATTTTATAAGGATACATCATGAATTTATTTATATTTGTTTTTAACTCAAATTCCAAGCATACCATATTGTGGTATATCGTCAAGTATTTCCCTCAAATTTACTATCCATCCATTCATCAGATTTAGTGGAAAAGGTGTTTACTTGCACCCAAGGGAAATTCCCCTTAATTGCTCATTCATATAACTGAGTCTTTTTTTAATGTTCACATATACAATGATCCTAATGTATCTGCACATTAGTAAGCCATTTATCTTATTTTTTATGTTTTTTATACTGATCCCTAAACTAAGTTTCTGTAAACTCTGGCCCATGAGCCAAATATAGCCCTGCTCTTGTTTTTTTTAATAAAGTTTTATTGGAACATAGCCGTCCCCATTTGTTTATCTATTGCTTGTCTGTGGCTGCTTTTGTGCTATGATGGCAGAGTTGAGTAGTTGCCATAAAGACTATGTGGTCACGAAGGGAAAAATATTTACTATCTGGCCTTATGCAGAAAAAGTCTGCTAATCCCTGTTGTAGATAAAAGTTTCCAAACTTTTATTGGTCCCCCAAAGAGCCTTTTGAGACTTTTTTTCCCCTAATTACTCTGTACTGTGTAATTTTATTTATTTTTATTTATTTTTTAAGACAGAGTCTCACTTTGTTGCCCAGGCTAGAGTGAGCGCCGTGGCATCAGCCTAGCTCACAGCAACCTCAAACTCCTGGGCTCAAACAATCCTTCTGCCTCAGCCTCCCAAATAGCTGGGACTACAGGCATGCGCCACCATGCCTGGCTAATTTTTCCTATATATATTAGTTGGCCAATTAATTTCTTTCTATTTATAGTAGAGACGCGTCTTGCTTTTGCTCAAGCTGGTTTTGAACTCCTGACCTCGAGCAATCTGCCCGCCTCAGCCTCCCAGAGTGCTAGGATTACAGGCATGAGCCACCACGCCCGGCCTCTACTGTGTAATTTTAATACTATAGATACATCATATATCTGTTTATGTACTGTATGTGTATTTGTGCTTTGTACATAAAAATAGGATTTCTCAGCTCAATTTTTTCTCTAAAAACCAATTTTTGCTCCCTTAGAGGCAATAATACTCTCATTGAGAATGCATGCTCTAGATCAGAATTACTCAATTTCAGCATTATTGACATTTGGGGCCAAATAATTCTTTGTTTTTAGGGGGGGAGGGATGTCCTGTGCATTGTAGGATGTTTAGAAACATCCCTGGCCTCAGCCCACTGGACGCAAGTACCACTCCTGTTCATAATCTGTGACAACCAGAAATGTCTCCAGGTAATCCTAAATGTCCCAGGTAAGAGGGAGGCAAAATTGTTCCCAGTTAAGAACCACTTACTCAAGATTACTAAAGACTGATAATATCATTTCAGAAAAATAAAGGAAGCTTATTTAAATGACTATGTTATGGGCTTAATGTATATTTTCCTTGTAAGAATCACCATTAATAGGAAATGTTCTTTTTATTTATTACAACCTCTTAGAGGGATCACAAGCTGTATCTTCAAATACTTTATTCTAAGTTTTTCTCCAAAATCGACATTATACTCATTGGTCAAGAATTGATTGAATCACCTTGCCTATCTCCAATCATCGGTGACACTTTCTATTATAACGAGGCTCTTCAAAAAGGAGCCAGGGTTTCAGTTATCTCATTTAACAATTCTCACAGAGTGTTTCTTCTAAGCCAGAAGAATTGAATATTTTGAAAGTGATTCTTACCATCCCTCTCAGATATTGAGCTTCCATTCTCCATTAACAAAGGCCATTCTGCCATTTCATTTGTAAGGATTACTCTCATTGTCAGCAAAGGAAAGAAAAATCATGGATGGAATTGGCTTTTATTGTCATTGAACACATGCAATCATTTTCTAGATTTATTTTTTCACTCTGAAGAAAAATATAAATGTTTTGTTGCCACTCAACCTCATCATATCACGTAGAATTGTCTTGAAAACAAAATGACAGACAAGGCACAGATATATCCCCGAGTGATAAGGGCATACTCAAGCCACTGTAGTGCTTTCCTGCGGGGTTATTCGGAGGAAATACTGAGGACAAGCAAGCCCATAAAAGGCAAAAATGCACTTAACTTTGACTTTCTTGGTAGAATCACATGTCTACATCAAGGAACCATTTTTAGCACATCCATAACTTTATCACATTTCCTTGTAATTTGCTGGGACCCGGCTTTTACAAGGTGATAATCCAAAGAAAAATAAAATGACCTTTAAGAATTTCTTGAGGGCTTGGGAACAAGGACAAACATAAAGGATGGGAGAACCAGTGGAAAGCAAGTCATTGCAAAGTCTGAAAGGTGGTGCTGTAGGCTACTTGAATCAGAGTCCTGGTTCTTCCAGCCAGTCCTTCAGTCCATCAGGCAAAGCCTGTGCTCAACATCGTAACATTGGCACATACCCAAAATTCAACAAATTAGGATTTTTTTGCTTATGTTAACCATCCGCGCTGAACAATGAAAAATCTAAATGCCTACATTTAAAAATCCTCATTACCTCACTTTGTGATTTTTGAATAAGCTATGAAACCTTTGCTCCAGCTTCCTGAAGCCAGAAATGTATGCTTCATCAGCTGCATTGTTTGGTTATGTTTGAATGACCAAAATTACCGTGCAAGATTTCTGCCTTGTGCTATGCGTTGGTACATGGGTTGAAGTACAGCCTCTGCATGTTCCTGTTACTGCTTTTGTCTCCTACCCTGAACTCTAGCTCTGCTAACCTTATCTTTTATATGTTTTCTTTGCTTCATAAAACCTTATCCCCGAGTATCCTAAGAGCAAAATGAGCCCTGAACTCGGAGTCCAAAGACGTAGATTGTTACTTTAATTCCACCACACACCAGCCATGTGACTTTGAATAAGACTCTTCCCTTTTCTGTACTTAAATCTCCCCCGGTAGGGATATTATTGGATCATATACTGGAAAATTCATGTGGGGAATCAAGCAGGCATGGTTGGCTCTGAGGCCTTCAACAGTATTGTCAGAATTCTGGCACTTTCCATATCTTGGCTCTACTTTTCCTCTGGTAGGCTGGCTCTCTGCTAGCAGAGCCTAGCAGCTAAAGACATACATTTTTTCCCATGTCCAATCATGGTAGGGAGAGAAAATATTCTGTTTCACCATTTCCAGCACACATGCTAGATTTAAACATTACTTTCTGTCTTTCATCATGTGCCTGTTCCTGAACAGCCACACAATCAGGACAATGGGTTGATTTAGCTATGGCTCAATTTTCACCATCCCTGAAGCCCCAGTAGTCACTGGGACTATATGAAATGAGACTGAGAGGTGGGAGGATTCTCCAAAAGGGAAATTAAGATGCTATAAAGCTAGAAGAAAATAGTTTGAATTTTTGTAGCTTAAAGAAATGATAAATATTTAAGGTGGTAAATATCCCAATTACCCTGATTTGATTATACGAATGTAACAAATTATCACACATGTATCATGAAAATATGTGCAGCTATTATGTATCAATAAAAATAAATTAATTTAAAAACACAAAATAAAAGATGCTACTACAGGAGAAAGAAGAACCTCTACAGTGCTGGACACAGGGAAAGAGGTCTACTGCAGAAAGAAAGGGAGCTCCCTCAGGGGTAACTGTCTCTTTACCCTAAATCATTATTTTAATCCCATCTCCCACCTCTCCACCACCTTGGGCATCAGCCTCCCCTACTAGTGCCTACTTTTGATTCCACAGCATATCTCTCAACCTCAGAATTTTGAGACCCATTGCTAAAGGCTTTTCCCCATAAATGTCTGCTCTTAGAAGCTCGTCAAGGCAGGGAATGATTCATGCATGAGAACCATCCATGAGTAAATAAATAAATGGCCCTCTAGGATAGGTGCTTACAGCCCTGTTCTATATTCCCATTTTTATCTATGACTACTGCAAGTTAACATGTTGCTAAAATTATAGTAGTTATCAAAACTCTCATCTGTAGAAACTGGGGACCAGAGGAACATTCTTTGGGGACTACTGTTTAATACCACATTTCTCCTCCTTCCAGGTAGTTGCCGCTGTGCTGCATAGTTCTATCACTGAATCTCTTCCATGAACCTACAGGAAGCATCATGTCTACTTTAGGAAAGGTCTTACCTTTGAGTTTATTTCCAGGGCATCTGTGACTCCATCTGCCATGGACCCACGGTGAGATTTCAGTGGGACTTCAGGTGTGCAGCCTACCACTCTGGATCTCAGTTCCCTCTTCGGAAAGAAAAGGACTATATTTCATAAAACAGTATATACCTTCCCTTTCTGCTTATTAAAAAAGAATAAAGAGTTATATATGCAAGCTGTAGAGTGGTGCTATTACATTGGAAAAGTCTTTAGGGTCAGGAGATGTGTGGGCCTCACCTGTGAAGTTCTATAGACAGAAACAATCCTGGATATTGTTGTTACATAAAGTCAATCAAATGGTACCAACGGTTAAAGGGCTTTCTTGATCATGTCTCAAATCATAATATGTGAGCTACCCCAGAGTCTGCTCCACTTTCTACGAGGCCTGTTTCCTACCCAAGCCCAGTGCCAGTCTCCACCAGGTCCCAGCACCACTCCCAGCATCTCACTCTCCTGCACCACCAGACATCTCACGTGGGGTGTGTGCCTGGGAGGGAGGTGTAGGCAGGTTCCCTGTGTTCTGGATCACCAGAAGGTGGAGCAGGGCCATCTGCTCATACACAAGGACAGCTGTGTTCCCCATTGTGAAGCATAGGATGAATCATTGGCCAAAAAGCAAATTTTATTTTATTGGATGAAAAATGCACAGAAACTTCATAGTACCGTGAGGTTGTTTGGGGTGCAACTGTAGAAAGTGATAAAGTTTAAAAACTTTTTTGAGCTTTCGAATTGATAATACATTTATGTGGTTCAAAACTAAATTTTTTGGTAATATATGTTATTTTATATAATAATAATTACGGGAAGTCCCCACTTTGCATAGTTCCAATATGCACACATGTAGTTGTCCCAGTTTAGTTAGATAATTCCAGTTCCCGAACAACATAGTTTACATTCCAGTTTTCACAGTGTATTAATTGTGGATAACTGGCTAGAGTGCACACTTTGCTGCTAGCTCTTCTGCCCCCCCCCCCCGCTACATAAATAGCAGATATGTGTCATGATCAGTGAGCAATCATGTGACTTCTTGCAAAGTCTGCTGCTAATTGGTCACTGCGTACCAGTTATTCACAGACAGCAAAGCATGTAGTCATGCTGCCTTCCTATCTTCCAGTGATAAACCCATGTGACGTTTTACAAAAATGGATGATCAAAAGAGTGAATTGGGTAACACAGATGAAAGTATAGCAATGCTAGAATGAAAGTGCTGCTAGAAATAAAAATTCGAATCAGACATAATGGAGTTAATAGAAGAAATAGTTGAGCATGGGTATGTTGGCATTGCCTCGACTCTAAATATGCCAATAAAGGGACTTAGTGAAGGTAAAATAATTCACATTAATGAGCAAAGTGTTTTTGACAAAAACTTTGTGAAGATATCCCTGAGAAAATGACACCAGCAAAACACTTGATGTATTTTTTTTTTTTTTTTTTTGAGACAGAGTCTCACTCTGTTTTCCAGGCTAGAGTGCCGTGGCATCAGCCTAGCTCACAGCAACCTCAAACTCCTGGGCTTGAGTGATCTTCCTGCCTCAGCCTCCCGAGTAGCTGGGACTACAGGCATGTGCCACCATGCCCAGCTAATTTTTTTCTGTTTTTATTTGTTTGGTTAATTTCTTTCTATTTATAGTAGAGACAGGGTCTCGCTTTCGCTCAGGCTGGTCTTGAACTCCTGAGCTCAAGCAATCCTCCTGCCTTGGCCTCCCAGAGTGCTAGGATTACAGGCGTGAGCCTCGGCACCCAGCTGAAAACACTTCATATTAAAGTAACTCTTGGAGCTATTTCAAGACAATAAAAAAGGATCAAATGTTAAAAACTAATAAAAACTTCTAAAAGGGGATACAATTCACCAAAGCATGGAAAACATGTTTGCTCTGTATGGTAAACTATATGGCAAGCAGAAGGTGAGCACTGTTCAAACTACCAATAAGTTTTTTTTTATAAATAAATGAAGCACTTTAATTCCCAATGTTTCTAATATCTTAATTCCAGTGTACCAAGTGAATATTAGTTTGATTATTATTTTTATTTCCTTATATATTTATAACCAACAGCAAGAGAGCTTTTAAAGTTTTGACAAAAAATTTTAAAGGTCATAGAACAATTGTAATTATTTCACTAATCATTAAAATTGCTTTGTGTACTGAAAGTTTGTATAGTAATCTTATAATCTCATACTACCACCTAAAGCAAAGACTCCACACACTCGTATGTGCACGTACCCACACACACACCTTTTAAAAGAGAGAAACTAGGTGACATGAGTCACAAAGGAAGTATGTATTCATGTAGTGTCTATTGGCTATAAAATATGACTCTGGGAGCTGTGAAAAACAAGAAATGCAATGTGATTATTAACCTCAAGGTCTTTAAGAAGATGCGGATTTTACGTAAAAGAAGTCTTTATTGCATAACGATATTTCACAAAATAAGTGCTCCTTTAAAATAAAAATTCAAAATAGGAACCAAATTTTTATAGTAAATATATGATAGAAAACCTTTGACCAGGAACTGATCTTGAAAAATGGAATTAAAATATAAAACCAGGCTTATTTTTACATTAATCAGCATTTAATATAAAACTGTAACAATGTCCTAATTCATAGGTGAATAAAGTATGAACTACCTCATCTGTGGGCATAATGTTTCTTTAATTTTGTGGTGGCAAAATACATCACCGTTTGCTTTAACTTGGATTCTTAAAGCATGATCCTAAAATGAGTAATTTCTCCAAAACTATTTGATAGTTCATCAATTTTTTCAAGGGCTTTTCTTCATTCTTTGATATTGGGTCCTCATTTAAAGCTCCTCCGCTATTGTGATATTTATTGATTTTGTTTTCCTTTCATTGGTCTAAATTTGCCAGAATCTCATTTGTCCACAGCTTAAGGTTAGTTCAAGCAATTATCCAATATCACTTTCATAGATAGCATGAAGTCTTGCAGTTGGCAGACTGACTTTGTATCTGCTTTACGTTGTGTTATAACTCTAAACTTTCGTAATCAACAGAAACTGTCAATGAAGGAGACATCATGTCTATATCAGTGTTAGCAAACTGTAGCCCAAGCAGCACATCTGGCCCAGTGACTGTTTTTGTAAATAAAGTTTTATCAACCCACAGCCATGCCCAGCGGCTGCGTTCATGCTACAATAGCAGAGTAGATGAGATAGAGATCATATGGCCCACAAAATCTAAAATATTTGCTGTCTGACTTTCTACAAGAAAAAAAAATTGTCAATTCCTAGTCTGCAGTGATGTTAGTTTTGAGCAAATATAGATGACTGCATAGACACTGCCTTGATAAGGGTTTAATTAATTAGTCAAGGTTTTGGGTTCATGATTTTTGCTTTCATATTAACTCCCAAGAGTGAAAAAAAAAATGCAGTAAATATTCAGCTAAGGAGGAGCCCCTGAGACTTGCAAAAAGAAATCTAACTTTTTATTAGATTTCTAGGAGTGACACAAATTGCTATGGTATTTTGGATGAGAAAGCTCCATATGGCTGCCGAAGGGAAAAGATGGTTCCCTGGGAGAGGCGGCATTGCGGCAGGACTTCAAAGGATGTATAAGATTAAAGGTCAGAATGTGTTCTAAAAAGAACAATATGGATGTTCTCTACATGGTTGACAAACAACAATTAACCACCTTGTTTAGGTGGCAGTGTAGCCAACAAAAGCGATGGATAAAGGCTGGGTCTGATTAAAACCTTTCTGATTCCTGTTGAGTTGGAGAAGCCGGCAGCAGTTCCAGTAACAAGGACATAGGACTCATTGATGGCCATGGCAAAATGCAACCAAGGTACCTGTCACCTGCCCCGCTCAAAGTTTTAATGCAAGCCCCAAGCCCCAGTGGCATTCACTGTGGCTGGTTCCTTCTCAACTAGTGGTCGGATTTTAGAAGGGAGCCTACGTGAAATTCTTCTTTGTGACTCAGCTGATAATCAGAGCTTGCCTCAAGGGCTATCCTTCCCAGAATACCTCCAAGACCCAAAGGAGCTGGGCCCATGCCCCTAGTGGTAGAATTTCAGGGAAGACAGTAAACATAAGGGGGAGGGAGGATTTCTTTCTCATCAACAAAAACTTTCATTGCCATGGGGTTGCTTGGCCTTTCCTCTTCAAGCTATACATTTAACCTATGCCAGTCTCTTTCCATGTACAACTGAGGATCTCTTGAAATGTACAACTGGATTGCAGCTTCCGGAACCAAAGCAAAGGTGTGCAGCCCCAGAAACCCGGTCTCAGCAAGTCTCTTTTTAATGACCAGTCCTCTGTGCCTTCCCTGCTCCCCTATGTGGACAGGGGAGTGATTAGCCATGCGGGTGGCCCCATGAGGCTCTGGAGAGGGATCCCAGCCCTCAGATCTATCTCAGAGCTTGTCAGCTAGGAGAAGGGCCCAAACTGAAGCGCAGCGGTTGCCTGCCGGGGGAAAGAGCAGAGCTGCAGAGGCCTGCGGTGCCTGTAGGTTCTGTGCCACGCTTCAAAGGCCGCTGCCAGCACACCGTGCGAGGCCACCCTGGTGGCGGGGGCGGAGGCAGCTTCCCTGGCTCTAGTCTCTGCTTCAAGGCCACTTGGGGATTTTAAGCTGCTTGGGGAATGACAGCTGTCACTGCATGTGCACTGGGGAGCTGTGGGGGGAGGATTTGGGACTAACTACAGGGTCTGTTCCCTGCTGCTCCAATTTTGGGGTTTTTTTAGCAAACGTAATTATAGACAGTGATTTTAAAAGGCTGTGGCTGCTCCAATGTTGCTTTCTCTGGCCTTCCTTCATCTGCCATTTGGTCAGTGGGCACAAATTTCAAGGCCCAGATGCAACCTACATCCTCCTGGCCATCTCAGACCCTATGACTCCTTCCTGTTCAGGCTTGTTTCTCAAAGCTGCCGCCTTCCTGGCTAGTCTGGAAGTTCTTTATAGGCAGGGACTGTCTTGCCGGTCGTTATGTCTCTGATATTACCTAGCACTATGATGTGCTCATGGTGCTTGCTGTGTGACATTGGCTAAGTTGCTTCACCACTCCGACCCTCAATTTTCCTTACTATAAAATGTGGTCGTTGAAATAAATAGTCCTTTAAGTCCCATCTGGCTTTTA